TTCCTTTGAAGACATCGTCTTTAGGAAGTATAGCATCCTCTTTTGAAAGAAACTGCCTTTTAAAATGTTAACCATAGGGCCCAGGGGCTCAATCCCCAACCTACCATGCTGGCCCGGTCCCCGAGGCATGCCGAGATGATGCCTGAGGCTTGGCATGTTGGAACGCTCCTGCAATCCCAGCACTTGGGAGACTGAAATACAGAAGGTATCACTACCAGTTGATTCTATTTAATGAGACCCTGTATTAAATACAGTTTAAAAAAAAACTATGCACATGAACTGCTACTGATGAGTGCCCAGTGTGGCTGGGCATGGGCACACTCCCACCACCTCCTATCATCACACCCTTGAGCCAGCTCTTGTCAGTGTGTCACACTGTTTGGCACCAACGTCCGTCGCCATCTCCACAGCTGGTTATTGGGAACTGGCCAACAGCCCTGTTTCCTGAAGCGCATGTTGGACTCCTCAGGACCTCTGTCATCCAAGAGCTTCAGAGGGTGGGGACACTGCATAGACTGTCGTGGAAGTTCTCAGAGTGGCACCAGGCAGCAGCCTCACCCTGCCTGGAGTGCCTCTGAGATGTGCATTCCCAGGCCCGCCCCACCACACTCCATCACACTCCACCCTTCCCCACCCACTGGCACAGACACTCCTGAGGCTCGGGAAGCAGGGCTGGAAGAAACCCTGGGATTCTTGAGCTCACAGCACCCTGTGGTCCACACCTTGCTCTTGGGCATCACGCACTGTATGCTGCCTGCCTGAGTGCATCAACAGTCTGCCTCAACTTACCTTCCACAGAGGAGGGTGCCTCCGTGGGCAACTGGCTGGTGGTCACAAAGGTTCCTGGGAAAACAGAAAGGGATGAAAGTCAGGGCTCTGTTAGCTATGGGTTCCGACTGAAGCAATCAGTTCTGTGGCTGTTTCCCTGAATAGAAAATGGTCTTAAGAATCTCAGATCCCAAGTGAAGCACACCAGTACCTTCCACCCAGGGCAGCTCCACTCTGCCCCTCCTCTGTCATTGCACCCTCACTCAGCCTGGCTCTGTGTCTTTTACCGTGGGGATGGAGATGGGAGTAGGCTTGGGGAAGAGGCAAGAACCCCAATGTGAGCAGAGGGATGGACCAGGACATAATCACAGCCCTTCCCTGCCCACCTCATTCACACACAGTACTCCCACCCACCAAATTCTGCCTACTGTAGCCCACACCTCTTGCTCCACTGTCTGATTAATACACTCCCTTTGCCCTCAGATCCACTCAGAAGGGGTCCTCCCCCAACAAACCCTCCCAGGCTGCTTCACTTGTGAATTTTACAACCGTGCATACTCCTAGCACATGGTACTCATGGTAGTCAAAATTACACCTCTGTTCTCATATGATGTGGTTATTCCCTTTCCCATAGCAAACTGAAAGATTAATTTTTATTCAGAGGGTGTTACTTCCCCAGTGTCATAGAGAAGAAATATTAAAGCATGAAGCTCCAGATGTTGATAGTGGTTAGAGATTGGAGAAGGGATAGCTTCAGGTTTTACATTTGGCGGTTGTGTTATTAGATTTTTCAAATGTCACCTTTATGAGGAAAAATATGAGAAGGACAGGTCACTCCACCAGGACCTTAAGGAAGCATTCTGTTGGGCTGCCTGTGCTGTTCAGCCAGACTCCAGAACCTTGTCACCTTGAATCACTGAAACTCTGCGCCTCAAACACTAACTCCCTCCCTTCTCTCACACCTTTGTCTACTGCACCTCTTTTCTGTCTTCAAGGATGTAGCTACACTATCTGCCTCACAGGAGTGGAGTCAAGCGGTGCTTGTCCTTCTGTGACTCAAGGATGCCACCTCAAGTTTCATGTATGACACACGATGTCATCGTTTGCCTCTCTTTTAAGGATGAATAGTGTCCCTTTGAAGATACTGTCCTTAGGAAGCATACTGTCCTCTGTTGAAAGAAACCCTCTGTTAAAATTTTACCATAATTAATAATAATGTATATATTAAGTTGCTTAATGTATGCAGTGTGTTAATTATTGAAACTGTCCTAGCGATTTGATTTGAAACTGTCTCATTGCTATTTATCAATAAAATTATGAAAAATAAAATAAAATATGGCAAAAAAATAAAATAAAATAAAATAAATAAATTGCTTAGAAAGTAGATTTAAATGTTGTCTGTAAGAAACATGTGAAGAGAGCAGAGTGCAGGCCCGGCGAGTGAGTGAGACGACCTGGGCTCCTCCGGATCCTGAATAGACCCAGAGCGCAGGCCCAGCAGGGAACCTTTCAGCAGAACTCCCTGCAAAGAGGCTAGAGGCAAGACCCACCCAGCTGATTCAGGAGCAGAACATCTTGCCAGAGAGACACAAAGGGTTCAACTCTAAC